CCAATCTTGGAAAAAGGCCTTTACCAAATTTTGGAAGATCAAGGGGACTACATTCATATGTAGAAAATTGGCAATCATTGATTGAAGCAACTCATTTGGTTAATCATGTTCGTGAACAAAATTTAGCAGAGAGCATTAATGATGGTGAGGAAGAAGAAGAAGAAGAAAAAGAAGAAGAAGTAGAATTGAGAAGGAATCGGAAAATCGTTTTGGCAGGTGGATGGATCACTTGGTGGAATGGTTATTTTATGTTATGCTATAAAATATCCAGAGACATTTGATTCGTTTGTGGTGATGGCTCCTTTAATTTATATAGATGATAAAGGCAGTCCTAGTAAACTAATTGAAAATATAGCAAAAATTCTTGTTAAAACATCTTTTGAACATCTATCATTTGCCAAAGCCTACCGTGGTAAAAGTAGTAATGGTCCATTACATGAATTTGTAATAATAATATCTTATTTGTTTATTTATATTTTATTGAGGTTAGTTGAGAAGGAAAATATTAATTATATAAATTGGTTAATATGATATAAAGGAAATTTTTATCAGATCCATAAACTTATCATGGAAATCTATGATGTGCAACAGGTTTGTCACTATTAATGTTGTTTGACAAAATGTTACCAAAGTTAAACTTATAAATATGTATTCCAATCTCTCCTTTGTTTCATCAGTCATTCTCAAGGAGCTAAGTCTTTCTTTTACTGAATACAATTCGGTTCCCACACACTCATATACTACTAAACTCAAACATTTCTTATTATACTAAATATTAATAACGTGATACATGATCGGGGTAGATAAAATCATCGATTGGGATTCGGTATTTTATGTTCCAGGGTCAACTAATTTTAGTGTATAATTATTATCAAATGAAAATTTTACGCAAAAGCTTTTTATATTGATATCAAAAATTAAACAATGATCGTGAGCTCTATCGTCAAATTGTGGATGACCTGCAAATCTAATTCTTTGATGTTCTTTTTCATCAATTGATCCACATAATCCCAAATTTGTAATATAACAACCACCTGCTTGCACAAGTATATTACCACTATGTAAATCTAAATCTTTTTCATGTATCTGTGTGTAAAAGTCATTCTACGTACCAGCCTATGTATGTTTCAAATTCAAGCACATTGTTAATATTATTGCGTGTTAACATTACGCGTAGCTAACTTCAAAGTCAAAATTCAAATTAACAATTTGGTTTTTTTCATTTTATGAAAAGTAATAAAAGAAAAGAGACATTAAAGAGAATACACGGAAAAAATAAGTAGTTTCATTATAATTATATATATTTGTTTAATTTCTAATTCAAATGATAACATTCGTAACTTCCAATGATAATTATTCTTCTTGTGTCATTGCAATATACACACAATAATGATAATTATTTATTCATCCCGAGACACATTTTTGCATAATGTAACTTTTGATAAATCTATTTTATCATTATCATTATTGCTGGTGTTTTTACTTACGTCAAGCATTTTTACTTATGTCAAATGTTTTTGATTACGTCAAATGGTTTTACTTGTGTCAAGTGGTTTTACTTTAGTCAAATCGTCAAAACGGCCCTAGTGAGAAACTATCTTTAGTCAGTACTTTAGTTACGTCAATGACTAAAGTCAAAAGTTTCGTCATTTGGATCACTATATATATGTATCAACAATAAATGGAAACCCCGAGGTAAATTCACCATGAATCTTAAGCAATATTTACAATATCAGTCTGGTCAGATATATGCATGTCGCGTAGGATTTCTATTCATAATACAAGCTCTTATTCGAATTTAACAAAGATAATATAAATTACAATAATTATATTTATAATCTACATTACTACATACTGGTTGCTAGTACTATGACTTAAGAAAAATGCCTGCTACTAGTATTTATTATTATTATCACAATATATATAAGGGACTAAGGGAAAATAGATAAAAAAATTTTTAATCGGGTTGGGATTAGCAATGTGCATATCTTTTTTTGTCATTCAAATTATATTATTAGTATCAGTGTTAGTGTTAGTATTAGTATTAGTATTAGTATTAGTATTAGTTCAATGTAATTCGAATGCTCAA